AAAATTTCTTTACTTAAAATCTGTTATTTGAAAGATCAAAACCATTCAAGAAAGCAGATTTTGGCGACTTGACAATTTTTTCACGACATTTCTAAGTTTTCCTTGGCTCTTGAGAATTCCTGTACATTTCCTGGCAATGCCTAAACGTGGCAACCCTGGTTTTTTTTCTTTCTTTTTTTTAAAAAAAATAGGATTTTACTGTTTCTATGCGTTTCATAGCATACTGAGTCCATTGTAGGAGAAAAAAATGTATGATTAAATTGCGTGAAATTTTATTAAATAAAGTTCCAGGAAATTTTGCGTCTCTAGTCGCAACGGCCCTATCAAATCATACGGAAAGATATCAGAAAATACGTTGACGCCTGTTACCTCTGAATTTTGATCGGATCATACCAAAGACGTTTTGAGGCAAAAAGTTGCAGGGAAACAGAGGAGAGAATAGGTAGCGTAGGAAAGCTTTCAGCTTGAAACGTAAAAGAAGAAAAACACTTGTGCTACCAAATGAATACGATATGCACCGTAATCTATGAAAAATTACTTCTGGGTTCGATTCTGGAAGGAGGGGAAGAAACGCGTCTACCAGGACGACATAATTTCAATGAAAGTTAGATTCCTTTCGAATTTCGAAACGTTTTATGGCAGAATTTGTCTATGGGCAGAATGCAACAAACTTGGTGGCATTCGCACGGAAGAGATCGATAGTGAATGTGCATAATATCACAACGGAAATGACGTCAGTCATTTCTGAATTTCGGCTGAGTCATACCAGTAATGTTTTGAGGCAAAAATGGGTAGGGAAACAGAAAATAGAATAGGTAGCAGCATGTGAAAGCTTGAAACGTAGGGAAAGAAGACTTGTGCAACCATATTCACTCGGAATGCTGAGAAATTGCTTGCGAGTGTGTTCTGAGAGATGGAGAAGAGACGCGCTTACCAGGGCGCCAGAATTCGCGTGGAAGTAATAATCCTCTCCAAATTTTATTAAGTTTTACCACACAATTCTCCGACCTCGGTAAAAATTACATGGAAAAGATATCACGATTCATATAAGGATATCAGAGCGAAATTAACGTCGTGCATCTTTATATTTCGGTTGGATCATACTGTTGACGTTGTGAGGCGAAACAGAGAAAGGAATAGGTAGAGGATACAGGCTTGAAACGGAGAGAAGGAAAAGAGGACTTGTGCAACCTTATTCATGCGGGATGCTTTTTCTTTTACCTCTGAAAAATTACTTGGGGGTTAAATTCTGAAAGAGGGGGAGAAGCGTACCTACCAGGACGCCAGAATTTACGTGTAAGTCTCCGAATTTTGGAAAATCTTATGCGGGATTCATCAACCTTGACCGGAATTACATGCAAAACATACGAGGCAGATACACAGGATATCAGAATAGACACCACGTCTGAAAATATTTGAACGAGTTGAACTTTTACCCGAGAGGAGGGGAGAAAAGCTCAAACCCGGACGCCAGGATTGGTGAAAAAGTTGTTCCACCTCCCCACATTTTAACCTGGGCAAAACTACATGGGAAAGATAGGGAGGTGACACGCAGGATATCAGAGCCGGGTTGACGTCTATTATGTTCGAATTTGGATCAAAAAGAATTCATCAGCCTTGAACAGAATTACATGAAAAAGATACGAGGCAGATGCACGGGATATCAGAATAGACTCCACGTCTGAAAATATTTAGATGAGTTGAACTTTGACCCGAGAGGAGGGGAGAAAAGCTCCAACCCGGACGCCAGGATTGGTGAAAAAGTTGTTCAACCTCCCAAAATTTTTAATCTGGGCCAAATTACATTAGAAAGATAGGGCAGTGACACGAAGGATAACAGAGCAGGGTTGACGTCTATTGCGTTCGAATTTGGATCAAAAACATCGTAGGGAAAAAAATCAGACCCGGGCGCCAGGATAGGCGAAAAAGTTGTTCCACCTCCCAAAATTTTAACCTGGGCAAAATTACATGGGAAAGATAGGGAGGTGACACGCAGGATAACAGAGCAGGGTTGACGTCTATTGCGTTCGAATTTGGATCAAAAACATCTTAGGGAAAAAAATCAGACCCGGGCGCCAGGATTGGCGAAGAAGTTTTTCCACCTCCCAAAATTTGAACCTCGGCCGAATTACACGGGAAAGATAGGGCAGTGACACGCAGGATAACAGAGTGAGATTGACGTCTATTGTGTTTTGTGTTCGAATTGGGATCAAAAACATCTTGCGGCACGGAAATTTCGACTCGAAAAATCGGGTTGTAATGAACTATCTCGCGTAAAGGAGATTAAGAGAGACAGGAGATCAGGAGGGTTCATGAGTGGCGGCGGGAGAGGGTAACACGAAAGTTCACAAGGCTCGGGTCAAATTACACGTCAAGGATAGGGACTCGCCGAACAGGACGGCATGAGGCACTTGTAAGTCGTGAGAAGGCACGCAGACTTTATGTGTAGTAACAGAGTGATTCCGTGGTGGTACAATGTTGTTGTCTTATAGGTTACATTTTGCAATAGAGAACTACTAAATATTGGCTCATGTTTGGAACAACATATGGGTGGTTTCAATAGCTGGAATAGTTTTGTCGCCGTAACAGACAACACATTTTTCGGTCATATTTTTAGTGGTAATGTTAATCACTCGAATTTATTTGCATTAATCTTCAAAGGGTTACGTATTATAACTGTTCCTAATGATTTATTGCTCTACTTCACAATTAATATTACGTAAATTCCGAAAATGTTCTGTCTGTTACGCGGTAAAAAGTCAGCGTAACAGACAGCACATTTTCGGCCATTTATAGATTAAAATTGAAAAGTAGAGCGATAAATCGTTGAAAAGCGTTGTAACACTCAACCCTGTATCGATTAAAGCAAAAAAAATCGAGTGATTATCATTACTACTAAAAATATGACCGAAAAATGTGCTGTCAGTCACGGCGTAAAAAAATTCCAGTTATCGTGAAACCATCCATATATACAATTGGTCTCCGTAGAAAGGTGCTTTTATGGAAGATCCAGAGGTAGAGGTTCCTTATTGCAAAATGTAGTCCACATATGAAAATTTACGAACTGGGGCACCTTCTAATTGCCAATAACGAACACTATGTGCTTGACTGCCGTGTTAAGGAAAAACGCTGTATGAGCCTTCAGGCGTTGCCAAAATCCCGTTGATGAAAAAAGGATTTTCCCGGTAAACTTAGGATATTTTTCGTCAAGATTTTCAGAACGTTTTGTTCGCAATTTGATGAGGGCGTATCTGGATTTCCACGTGAGCACTGTTTTCCATATAAATCCATGCTTTCTGGGGCTCGTGTCAGTGGCGAGGCGTGAATGATCTATTATCTATATTTCCCCATTTGAAGCTATAGTAAAGAATCGATTAATAAGGTGTTCGTTGCGAACACCCTGTTAATCGATTTTTTTCCATGGGTTTAAATGACGGATCAATCGATATATCACAAAGCACACCACGCCACTGGCTCGTGTGGAAATCGAGATACGCCCTTACGCCAGAGGAGCGACGGTATCTGAAAATTTCAAAGATAATCTTCAGAAGTTTACCAAGAAATTCGTGTTTAACCAAACATTTGTGCTGAGAGTTCTCTCTGTGTCCGGGAGAGGAGAGAACAGTAAGTTCGAAGTGAAAATCGAAGAAAGAGGAGAGGAGAGACATTCAAATATGAGCCTCGTCTGAGTTATGCACTGGAAAAAAAAACACATTGGATCTAGAGTCCAGACTCTTAAAAACATCGACAAGAAAAAATACTCTTGATTCAATCAGATTGAAGCTTAAATCAAGAACCCAGCCTCTTAATTTGAGCGGATTTCCTTTTGATTTTGGCTGAAATCTGATTGAATCAAGAATATTTTTTCTTGTCGATGTTTTCAAGAGTCTGAACTCTAGATCCAATATGTTTTTTTTTCCAGTGTGGAGGGTGTGAGGGGAGGGGGAGGTGTCGAGGCGAATATTACGTGATTAATTTGGGGGTGTCTGGACACTGGCGTTACGAGGGACGGATGGGTGTCAAAAAAATCGCGTTACTTAATTTATTTTATGATGAGATTACTTCGAGAATTGCGACATACCGTGAGATTCCACCGACATGAAGAATAAAAGCCAGGGGTCCCGTTGAAAAAAAAATCAATACGGGGAATGTTAAATTCTCGCCGGGCCGCGGGGAGCCAGCGGCGCCGCAACTGTCAAGTCACTTCTGTTTTCCTAATTAACCTCTCTCCTGGCAGCACCGCCCTCTTCTGCGGTCCGCGTTTCATTGGCCCGCCCCGCGATGCTGAAATCCCCGACCCCTGTCGCGTAAACTAGGGGACTCCTGCGGCCGTGACGCAATATTATTCGGGAGACCAACATCCCCCCTCTTTCCTTCCATTCCCATACTCTCCTCCAATTTAATTCCTTCCATGTCCGATCCCCAGACTTTTTGTTCATTCACTCAAGTCTCCGTACTTTCGTCTCAAGAATACGTTTTCGGAACTGCGAACTTCAAAACTGCCCTGGCTCCAGGTAGGTTGAACGGTTTCGGATCAGAGATGGAAAATTTTATGGAATTTATTCGAATGAAATTTCACGAAATTTCATAAAATATATTGAAACTTCTGGGGATAAATTCAGGAGGCTAAGAAACGCCTAGAAACAGTGTTTCTAAATTTTGAAATTTTTTACCCCAAGCCTATAACATTCGCGCGTTGCAAATGTTTTCGTTCAGTTTAGAGGTTAGGTTGGGGTTTTTTTCTCTAAACTCCCCTTTTTGCCCCCTCTTTGTGTCCGGCACCTTCAGTAGAGTAGCATAACACCGCAGCATCAACAGAAAGACCATCTGAAACGCTTTCAGACCTTCAATAAAGGTTCGATCAATAATTCTAAAAAAAAAATTAATGAATTTCAACTCTTGTGAAATTTATTCGATTCTTGGGAAATTTCACTTTCCATCTCTGTTTCGGATAATTTGGTAGAAATATGGTAAAACATGTTGCTCAAGTGCGGACTCACCGGTTATATTGTGTTGGTGGTAGTTGTAGGTTAAAGGAACTGAGTTGAAGGCCCTGGCGGACCACTTGCGATGCCGACTGTCTTCGTCCTCCACGTCTCCGTGATCCCCCGTTTCCCCCAGAAAGTGCACTTTCTCGTACCTATCCAAGAACCTGCAACACGGAAAACCCCATCAAAAATAAGTCAAGCGAATAAAACAACAGAGAGGACAGAGAAGGCTAAAAGGTGGGTACGCTGAAAGAAACACTAGGAAAAAAAAAACACATTGGATCGAGAGTTTAGACTCTTAAAAACATCGACAAGAAAAAGTACTCTTGATTCAATCATAATCTAGCTTAGATCAAGAACCAAGCCTCTTAATTTAAGCGGGTTTCCTTTCGATTCAAGCAAAAATCCAATTGAATTAGGAGTATTTTTTCTTGTTAATGTTTTCAAGAGTCTGGACTCTAGATCCAATGTGTTTTTTTTTTTTTTTTTCCAGTGAATTTCACCACTTAAGTTCGGTTAAAAAGATAATTAAAACACAAAATAACCCTCTTCGGTTGACAATTTCAAGAGAAAAAACCACCTAGTTTTATTGAGGGAATTTAATAAAAAACGAATGGTGAATGCTAACGTCGTAATCAGAGGAATGTATTTCTTCCGTCTTTTCAAAGTTTTCCGCGCTAAATTCACAAAAAACTGTACTGTGTTGGTTTGTGTTTCACTTCCTTTTTTTACCATAAGTACGCAAGAACACACATTTTTTCATCAGTGTAGAGGACATCCAAAAAGAGATAGAGAGATGCCAGCTTCCAGAAAATCTCCACCATGCACTGGAAAAAAACATACATTGGATCTAGAGTCCAGACTCTTGAAAACATTGACAAGAAAAAATACTCTTGATTCAATCAGATTTACTTCATTTTTTACGGGATGTCAGTTTAGTTGCGTGACCCAACCGAACGCGTAGAGCGCCTTCAAATCCTTGCCACACTTCCCCCTTCGCCGGGTGGTTAGTTTAGTTGCATGACCCAACCGAACGCGTACAGTGCCTTCAAATTTTGGCGACACTTCCCGCTTCGCCGGGAGGTTAGTTTAGTTGCGTGACCCAACTCACCCAACCGAACGCGTAGAGCGCCTTCAAATCCTGGTGACACATCCCGGTTTGCCGGGAGGTTAGTATAGTTGCGTGACCCAACCTAACGCGTAGAGCGCCTTCAAATCCTTGCGACACTTCCCGCTTCGCCTGGAGGTTAGTTTAGTTGCGTGACCCAACTGAACCTAACAAACTGTTATTTTACCTATTTCACTGCACGCAGCTAGCTGATACCACCAAAAGGAGCATAACAAATAGTGTTTTCTTTTTTTTATTTATAGTTGAATTTTTGAATTTTTCTTGCAACACAAAGAGAGGTAAATAAGTCGGCAGTTGTTAGTAACCATGTAGTATGTTCGTGCGCATGGTAGTAAACCATGGATTTTACGATCCCAACAGTTCTCCTTTGTTTCTCCGTACAGTTTTCCTGATTTAAATGATGATGGGGGCCATTTAGGGGTGCTTGGCTTACTTTTTCCTATCCTTTCCGCTTCGTTTACCCCCTTCCCCTCCTTCTCTCTCCACGTCTCACGTTACGCATCCTTCAAATACATACTTGAACGTCCAGCAGACTATTTTCATCGAGTACACGGAAAAACTCTATCTGCCCTAAAAATGATGCACCTTTTTAAAATTCTATCGTTACGTAACGCTGGCTTCAGCCCCCTTGTCCCCGCCAGCGTAACGCACTGCAGCGCATAAGAGCCCTCTCCCTCTCCTATTCTAAGTGCATTTTGAGCCTGCTTTTGAGTCCAAGAGTCGAATTCAGCTTTAATGTAAAATCCCGCTTTTCCATTTTCTTAAAAGGAACTGTATCCATTTTTACATTGTTTCTTATCCAGCCCATCACGAGCACACCCCATCTTTCAATTCGCACATAGTTCCTTTTAGCATAAATACGTCCGTATTTCCTAAGCAGATTGAGAAGTTATAGAAGTGTACTTGAGACTTTCCCGATGTGCTCATTGCGATTGTTGAGTCATAACTACACTGACGTGCTAGGGAAGAACGCCGAAGCCATTCGAGAGTTGCCAAGGTTCCTCTGATGTAATGTTGATTTTTCAGAAAAGTTATCAATAATTTCCCTTGAAAATTTGAGACTCTTTAGATCTAATTACGAACGAAATTCCCTGAAAATCGGAGGGAAAGTGTTCATAAATGTTCCCATAAATTCGTGATTTATCATAGGAAATTTGGCAACGCCTAAAGGCTCATACGACGTTTTTCCTTAGCACGGCAGTATAGGAGACAACTCGTCTTTTTGCCCCAGCTGAGCTTCGCATCAGGCTCATTTCAAACGAATTCTCGTACACTGAAAAAAAAAACACATTGGATCTAGAGTCCAGACTCTTGAAAACATTGACAAGAAAATGGACGCTTAATTCAATCAGATTCAAGCTTAAATCAAAAGGAAATCCGCTCAAATTAAGAGACTTGGTTCTTGATTTAAGCAAAAATCCGATTGAATCAAGAGTATTTTTTCTTGTCAATGTTTTCAAGAGTCTGGACTCTAGATCCAATGTGTTTTTTTTCCCAGTGCGATGAACCTCTGGTGCAATTACTTCAACCGCATACGAAGAAACAACACATACAAGAACTGCGGGCTGATTGTTGAAATTGAAAGATAAGGCGATAGACAAAGAAGACATAGGGAGTATGGAGCTATCCTATTGGTTGAAACGGGTGGTTCCTTTAGACGAAGGGAGAAAATAATGGACTAATTATCGGGTCCCTCGTAGGTTGCTGTTACTTAGTCTATTACCTACCTCTTTTGTCCAATGCAACCGCCCGCTATCACCAATAGGATCCCTCTATATTTCTTTTGCCTTCTTTGGCTATAGCTTTGTCTATCAATTTCAATAATCGGCCCGCTGGAGAAAAGTTGCCCGATGAGTTGCGTACTCTCCGAGACGTTTGGCGGATGCGCTGCTGAAAGCGCGATGACAAGCGAGTTATTCGAGCGAATCCCGTCACACCCAGAATCCACATTCCAACTTCCAAGGTTTGCCTCGCCAAAACCAGAAAGAAGTTAATAGCCGTCCAAATTTCGCTCGATCCACTTTATTGGCCATTAAAGTATGGAGAGCAGGCAAAGCGAATTTCCTCGGTGTCCTTAAGCACGAGCGAAACACAACGAGAATATATTGACGACGATTTCACAGAACGGAATCCTTTGACACTTGATGGTTGCTAGTAAATAAGAGCATTATAAAGAGCGATCGGAGCCGGTCAGGTTGGCCTGCGGTCAGCGCGCCTGACTGTGGTTTACAAGGTCTCGGGTTCAAATCCCGGTGGTGGCAACATATATTAAAGGAACTGACGAGTGGATCTGCAAAAACAGATTCTACTCGACCTTAATCCATGAAAATTTAAAAGCCTAGAGCATGGATGTGTCCTTAACTCCAAACCGACACTCATTCAAGGTTGCAAATTAAGTGGATAAATAATGAAAATTTGAAAGCCTAGAGCATGGATGTGTCCTTAACTCCAAACCGACACTCATTCAAGGTTGCAAATTAAGTGGATAAATAACTTTAAATAGCTTTTTTAAAAAAATAAAAAAAGCTGAAACTCAAAGCTGAGTTTCGAACATTGTGCACAACCTTAGCAACATAGCAATGCTCCTGGTTCCTTTTTTGCAAAATGCAATCCACCAATGGACCACTAGACAAGGTGCGAATTTCAGCATTCTGATACGTGTTTCTTAACCAAAATTTCATGTAGAACACGATGCGCTCAACGAAAATTACCGAAATCAATACCTTACGAGGATATTTAATAACTCTTGGTGCGTGAGTTGAAACCACCCGCTCATGAAAACTCAATGCTCTACGTGATTCACATCGAGCGCTAGACGTTATCATGACAGTTTCTGCGATATAAAAATCTGGCAACCTCGATCTTGACGCTTTGGCTCAGCTATGGCAAATTGCTAGTAGTTTGAAAAACACATGGTGGGAAATGAACATTGCTCGATTGAGAAACTTGTTGAAACCGTAGTAGTGCGTGATTTGACTCACGTGGAGCTATGAGTTTCTTGTGAGCGGGCAGTTCAATTCCTCGTAACCAATGTGCAATAAAAACTTTAATATCTTCGTTACAAGTTGGTTTCGGTAATTTTCGTTGTAAGAATCGTGTTTTACGTAAAATTCTGGTTAAGAGACATGTATCAGATTGCTTAAATTCGTACCTTGTCTAGTGGTCCATTGCCACTTGAGTCGAATTTAACATAAAATAATAATCGAATAAAAACCTTCCAACAATCGATTCTTTACGATAGCTTCAAATGGGGGGGGGGGGGGGNNNNAGTCGATCCAAGCTTCGGATTCAGGCCCTATTCCGACGGTCAAGCCAAGGCGCCCCCTGGCGAAGGTCCCCGCCGGTCGCCGGGTGGCAAGGAGTGGCCGGAGCGGAGAGGGTCTCCTCTCCGGGTCCGCGCCCCGAACGCGCGGGGCGCAGGAGCGCCGCCTGGCGGCCGGCGCCGCAACTCGAGTGGACCGTCGCCGTCGAGTGGATGCGTCGTCCGTCTGTGAACCGGCGAAACGGTCAAGGTCACCGGCGTCGCCGCCGCCGTAGTAGTGTAGTACGCAACGGCCCGGAGGGGGAGGGGGAGGGGGCGGGGCGCGGGGCTTCATTGAGGAAAAGGGGGCCTACTCGCGGTCGGTGCAGCCTCCACTATCACTACCGTTGCGCGACGCGGCGCTGTTGCACTAGGTCAAGGACTGTCGCCACCGCTGCGACACTTCCCGTTGCGCCGAGCGTCGCGGCGCCCGCCCGCCCGCCCAGACGCACCCGCGACGCCGTCGTTGCCCTCGCCACCCGGAGGGGTGCGAAAGTGTCGCCAACTAGGGGTCGACACAACGCGCTTTCCCCGTGCAAGGTGGCAATAACCTGTGTCACGCTATCAAAATACTCTATCGCAATGTCGAGGTCAAGTGCTGTGATTGGTCCAAGTCATCGAATAAGCCAATCACAACGCTTGACATTGATACTTTCATGGATAGCTTTGATAGTGTGATACAGGCTCTAGTTCATCGTTTCCCGGACGAAGGAATGTGACTCCACCCCTAGGGT